CCTGCTGCTCCAGTGCCCTTCTGTTTCCTGGCTAGCGCTCCTCTCCGGTGAGGCCGAGCCTAGCTCGGTGTGTTGGCGTTCCGTCGGGCTGGGAGCTTCTTTCCCATTGTTAAGTCCTGTGTTTCCAGGGGCTGATAAATTTTCAGCAAGAGGGCTGAAGTTTGGTGGCTAGGCAGTGGTGGAGTCACCGGGGGGGCTCTGGTGATTCTCCCTTTAAGAATATCCATAAGGAGAGGTTGCTGGATAGTAAGCAGTTGCTTTCTGCAGTGTTGATTCCCTGCTAATACGTGTTCCATATCTTCCTTTCTCCTAGCCAAAAGCTTATTACTTGTGACTTAGAAATTCCTCAGTTGACTTGTGTTACCAGGTTCCTCCTTAGCCCTTTGCCTTCTTACAAATTCTGTTCGAAAATACCTGTGAATGAATCCAGGTTTGGATACCTGAGCCTACTGGAGGATTGCTTGACTAAGTTGTGATGCTGAAGGCACGAAGGGATTGGTTTGTTTCTGTGAACTTCAGTGCAGTTTTGAAGCCTTTGTTGGAGCCAGAGAATAGGGCCATTTCATCTCTACACTTTTTTTAACCACTATGTACAATTGTGGAGAGAGAAACAGTGCGGAATGACTGTTTCTAGATCCTGTTCATCTATCGCTATTGACAATTCAGGCAAGAATAAAGCTTTTTTTTTGGAGGAGCAGAGAAAAATCTTCAGCCGAGTAGGCTTTTCTAGAAAGTAAAAGGAGTAGAAAGATGCTTAGTCCTATCTAGGGCATATCTCCAAGGAATACAACTAATAGCTTTTTTTCTTATTCTATGTCCTGCTTGAAAGCATTTAGGTAAAAACTCAGTAATTCATAGTATCACCCTTGGGACTGTGAAGGGACCAGGTTGGACAGTGGTGGTGCTTTCTTTCATGCTGGAAGAGTATAGATAAATTATATTTTTTCCTCACATGCAGAAGACTCTGAAAGCTTATTAGGTTTTGCCTTTGAGATAGGAGAACCATTTCTACAGAACTTCTTGAAGCCTCCACTGCCCTCCTGTTTTGACTGTTCATGTGCAGGCTCTGTAACTATGGATTCTCCTGCCTTACTGCACTTGCTGGGGTTTGACAGTTCAGGACTAGTTGTGGAGCTGTACCTTCTGCTTTTATCCTTGTCTTACCCTTCTAAAGCCACAACAGGACTACACTACTTCTGTTCTCTCAAGTCATCAACCATATGTTCATGACAGGGTAGAATTTATTGCCCTCCAGGAAGATTTTAGTATGCTAAAGGAGTATGTTTATTTTTTTTTAAATGCTATTTGGACAGGGGGTACAGTTGGTTGCTGTTGAATTACAGTTTCAAGTTTAATGTTAGAAATTCCTTTGCAGGGAATGTTACCCACTTTTAGAGCTGGTGGTGTTAGTTTGATAGCTGTTTGGAATAACAGTCTACTCCTGACTTGCTTACTGGACGATGAAACATTAAAGCTTTGCAGGAATAATGCGAGGTGTCATTACAGGCATATGCACCTCAGCGCAGAAGGTATTTCTAGTTGCTTTCCTAAAGTTTATCTTCATATTTGGTGAAAGTGGAAGCAGAATCTCTAGGACTTTTTAACAATTGAGAGCTGCCATAGTATAGCTAGCAATTGTGCGCTGTCTCTCAGCCATCCGCATAGTGTGCTCCAATCTCACCTCCTCAGTGGGGGTACCAGGAATGATAAAAGTCGCCTAGTGAGGCTGTCGGCAGTGGGCCAGCTTGAAGGACCCTCATCTGCGCTGTGGGCTCTTACACGCTACAGGCTGAATTAAATAGCTCAGTCATACGGTATAATAAATGCTGATGAAACAGCACTACTTTGCAGTTGTCAACACGGCCACTGGTTCATGGCGTATGGGCTCTGTAATTCCTTATTGGTCCTCAGGGGAACGATAGTACTTCGGTTCTTAAATTCTAAGGCAAAAAATGCATGTTAAACGTTCCCATTGCCCTTACAGTCCAGTGCAGCATGTCTGCCAAATTAAACTGGAGTCTAGGAAAGGGGTTAATGTGTTTAGAAAGGTGAAGAGAAACAGATATTGTGTGCACTAATGCAGCTGTATAACTAGGTCTGTGAAAACAAAGAAACTAAGTCAACACAAAATACCTTTAAAAAAAAAAAAAAGAAACTTTTCTAAAGATGAGTTGGTTTTTTTCCTGATTAAGCCACCCATGAGGGTGAGCTGGCCAGTCTGACTTAAAGAAACAGATTGTCCAAGTGAAGCTAAGGTCATACTTGCAAATGAAAGACAACTGTCTTTGCGAAATAACTTGCAGTGTTAAGACATTAAATTTCATCTGGAAGCACGAATCTCGCTGTTTTATGTCCCAGAGTCATTCTTCCATCTCTTGGGCATCCAGCACGGGTATGCTTTTTCAGAAGTGACATGGGTGACAGCGTACAGGAAGAGTTTTGCTTTCCTTGTCTTGGGTTTTCCCTTGCCCTCCTCCTCCTCCCGCCGCCGGAGCTGTCCCTTCAGCCCCGCCGGGGCCGCCCCCCGGCCCCGAGCCCGGCGGGGCCTCCAGCGCCTTCTGAGCCCGGGAAAAAATGCCCGAGGAAAAACACTGGGAATGCCCCCGGGATGTTGTGCGTCAGGAGTTGGGGGGGGGAGGCGGTCTGGCGATCTGGCTTTGCAGCTTGTTCTTTTTCTGGCTTTTAACTGACCCTGTCCCTAGGAGCAGGTTAAGTGAGCATTCTACCACTGCTGAAAAGTCTACTGAATGAAGGTGATAGGACTCAACATCTCATTTCTTTAGCTATTTTATCAGTGAGAAATGCCAGAGCAGCTCCTTTTGTATAGTCTCAGTGACAGGGTAGTCTCTTATCTGGAGTTACTGTCATTACAGTCTCGTTCTAAAATTTCAGTGTTTCTGGTCAGAATCTACTCCTTCATCCTTTTTAGTAATCTGTAGCTCATGAACATTTGAACACTAGGGCTGCTACTGTCAGAGTGAAACCTTCTCTGGTTCCTTGAGAGAGGAATCCTTGAAGTTCAGAGCATTACCTAAAAGATGTACTCACAGTAACAGACAAATAAATTATTTTTGTGTTCTGGACCAGAAAGGGCCTTTCCTCCTTTTGGAAGACTTTCCTGGTTGGTGTTCTATCTTCTTTCTTTTGTTCATGGGACACTAGGAAGAACAACACAGGCATCCTTATTAGGGTCCAGGTGTACTGCATGGGAAGGTTGATGATATGATCCCTATATGTAGTCAACTCTTGGCTCATAGGTTTGACCAACTTACAAAAGTAAGCCAGACTTTTAAAAATCATGTTCATGGAACACAGAGCTCAGTCAAAAAAAAAAAAAAGTGCAGTTGTGGACAGCAGAGTTAATATGAACTCCATACAGTTATGTGACAGCATCTTGTACTGTAGGTTTATACTTAGGAAAGACATTTGATTGGCATAACTAAAATATTTTACTTGAGTGGACTCTAACCTGCTCCCTTGCCTTATACAACAACATAATTTCTTTTATAAACAGGGGATAGGTTTATATCAACCGATAACTACAAAACCCAGTAAGATAGAACAGTACTCTGAATTAATACCTACGTCAAGTAAGTCCATTACAGACTTAGCTTTCTTTCTACTAGACAAAACAGAGCAACCATGTTGGATTTGGCATTTCAAGTGCAGGCAAGTACTAAAAGCCTTGGTGACTTTCTACTTAAATCCTTGCATTATGGTATTTTTTCCTTTAAAACTTTTAAAAATTTCCTTGACTGTAATTGGTAGCCACCAAAATATCAGGCAGACAGTATCAATGGTATCTCGCCCGTGGCCTCCCACTACTGTAAATTCAGCCATGTCAGCATATTTTCATTGGTCAGTATGTGGGTTCTCCGTTCTACATTAGTCAGTATTGGATGGTTTCTTTTGGCCAGCTGTGAGCATAAACTATGTTTAGTGTACGGTTGTACAGGATACATATTCTCACATCTTTTGCTCCAGATGCAATTTGTATGCTGAATTAAGACATCTGCATCTGTAGATTTTTATTATACAACGCCAAGTAGCCACTAGTTACTGTGGCAGCCTGTATAGCTGTGAGAGCATACGAATGGAAAATGATGATTCTGTTCTTTCATACAATTTCTGTAATAAAATCGCAGTATGCATTAATCAAAAAATGGTTTTCTTATTGCTAGCTCTGCATACTCTATGTGGTCTGATCCATCTGTTTGTCACACTATTGTCAGTAGTGTCAGAATTGGTTAGCAGATCTCATGGGAAATGAATCGGCAAAGCTTGTAGAGATGTGGAAGAATAAGCATGATTTGGGAAGGACTAAAAGATTGTTAGTGGCAGTTGAACAAGACGTTCAAACAAGGGACAAATGCAGGAGCAGATGCATTTTGTGTTGGATTTTAGCTATGGCACACTGAGCACTGTAGTGAAGCCAATGAAGATTAGCCTGTGGTGTGTTTTTTCTTTTTTGGAATCTTGTTCTGTCATTGAGGACAGGAAATGAGGGTTTATCCTTAGAGGGGTGTCAGTGTTATAAGGGTTTAAGTGTGTTAAGACGAGGCTATTTTATAATTGACTGCCATTAGGTCAAATTCATCACCATTCACAGTGAGTACTTAGTACAGGTTTTATGATACTGCAAGATCTGTTTTACCATACTATTTGGCAATGAAGGGTTGTCAGAAGGGACTACTACTTTCATTTGTATTGGTTTGGAGTGAAAACTGGTCCTTCTTCCAAGGGTAAGGGTGAGGTTGGGCAACATGGACCTTCAGCTGATGCACAGGCTGCATAGTTGCTAAATGTTTATATCTTTTTTTTTTTTTTTTTTTTTTTTTTTTCCCTTTTCCGGAGATCGACTTCTCAGAGCTTGTTCTGGAGGAAATCATTGGCATAGGGGGCTTCGGAAAAGTGTATCGAGCTGTATGGATAGGAGATGAAGTTGCTGTCAAGGCAGCCCGCTATGACCCTGATGAGGACATCAGCCAGACCATTGAGAATGTCCGCCAAGAGGCCAAGCTCTTTGCAATGTTAAAGCATCCCAACATCATTGCCCTCAGAGGCGTGTGTTTGAAGGAACCTAATCTTTGCTTGATCATGGAGTTTGCCCGTGGAGGATCACTAAATAGAGTGTTGTCTGGTAAAAGGATACCTCCTGACATACTAGTCAACTGGGCAGTACAGATTGCGAGGGGAATGAACTACCTGCACGAGGAAGCAATTGTTCCCATAATTCACCGTGACCTGAAGTCCAGCAACAGTAAGTGCTATGCGGTGAACAGCCAGGGTGCTGGGGTAGGGTTTTGGAAAGAAATCGTACAAAGTACAGAGGGGCATAATGTTAACTTAGCATTCCTTTCTTGTGAACCACTGTATCCTCTAATTCAATCCCAGAAGGGTTTATTTTTCTACAGTACGGTGCTACAGACCACAGGAAACATGTAAATGCTTTCACTTGGTAGAAGCAACTTAAATGATTGGAGGCAAAAGCAACTGTAAATGGAGTGTGCTTCTCTATTAGTTCATATATATATATATATACACACACACACACACAGACTGTCTCAGTTTTATTGGCGTTTCAGCAGACTCTTATATGTTGGAAAGTCTTGTTGAACTTAAAAAGTGTATTATCCTTCCACTTTTTGGAATGATAAATGCTCCTTTGGAAACATAAAGGCTCCCAAGCTTTCATTTTGCTTGCTGGACTTTGCTGTGTAGATGAGATGCAAGCCTGTTTTCCTTATGGGAGATTTAGCACGCCCCTGCTGAGTTGGATCTTCTATCCCCCATAAAGCTGGTGTTGACAGAAACATTAACTCAGGTAAATGAAATGTCCCAGTGGGTTCCCTCGTACATCCAGGACTTCAGCTGATGTTTGTGGTGCTTTACACGGGATGCGGCTGACCCATTAGAGCATGGGAACTGAACTTTGGTAGTTACAAATCTGGAAATCATGGAGAATTGCTACTCTCTAATACTAATAGCATTATTGTCTGCCACTTGGGTATTGTTTTTGTAGCATGTCTGTTTTCCCCAACTTAAAATTGCCTTGAAGTCAAATGCATGCATAGAACATTATTTATGAGTGTGGGAGCAAACTGCTGCAGCGATTTAAAGATCATCGCGTCCTTTCCTGATGCCTGCATGCAGCTGTTCAGGCTTTCTGTCTGTCTGTCTATGTTTAGTCAGCAAGAGCAAATGCGTACCTGCATGTTGGCTGCAGTGGTTTAGATAGATGTGTTAGTATGAACTCATTTTCATTTATGGCTTGAGTTAATAAGCGCTATGAACTGCGTGGTTGGGATGCAGGCACATGTTCTCTTTTGTTTTGAGGGCAGTAACATCTAGCAAAGAGGTCTGACAGATGGGAATTTTAATATCTTAAATAGATTCACTAGAGCTAGTGTTAACCATTACAATGCTGTAAATTTCCAGGCCTTGTAGAATCTTATGTTTTTTTGGCCTCAAACCCTGTGGCAGTGAATTTACATAGTTTGTGAATGGAAAAAAAAAGTATTATTAACTTATGTTAGTGAGTTTGAAAATAGGAGCTATGAGAGCTTTCAAATTAGTTTCTAGAATACTATTCTTCTACTATTAAAGTTTCCCTTTTTGTTAGAGTAAGGCAATCTTAATGTCTATAAAGATTTCCTAATATCTAAACCCTTCCTTTATACATAGTAGTATATATGGGCTTATTGGTATGTTCAGCCTTTCTGTCTGTCTGTCTATGTTTAGTCAGCAAGAGCAAATGCGTACCTGCATGTTGGCTGCAGTGGTTTAGATAGATGTGTTAGTATGAACTCATTTTCATTTATGGCTTGAGTTAATAAGCGCTATGAACTGCGTGGTTGGGATGCAGGCACATGTTCTCTTTTGTTTTGAGGGCAGTAACATCTAGCAAAGAGGTCTGACAGATGGGAATTTTAATATCTTAAATAGATTCACTAGAGCTAGTGTTAACCATTACAATGCTGTAAATTTCCAGGCCTTGTAGAATCTTATGGTTTTTTGGCCTCAAACCCTGTGGCAGTGAATTTACATAGTTTGTGAATGGAAAAAAAAAAAGTATTATTAACTTATGTTAGTGAGTTTGAAAATAGGAGCTATGAGAGCTTTCAAATTAGTTTCTAGAATACTATTCTTCTACTATTAAAGTTTCCCTTTTTGTTAGAGTAAGGCAATCTTAATGTCTATAAAGATTTCCTAATATCTAAACCCTTCCTTTATACATAGTAGTATATATGGGCTTATTGGTAAATGCTGTAAAATGAAGGATTGATTGGCTTGGTTAATGGATGACTGGCTGCATCTGTGAATAAGAAATAGTTGCCTTTAAATGTCGGGCCTTTCCTCCTCACCTAAGAAAACATTTACTTGCTTATTTTGCTAACAGGCTGTTCAGACTTTATTGCTTAATGCTATCTGAACATTTTTGAGGTTTAGAATGAAAGTTATTTCTAAGGCAAGAAGCTGTTAGCTCCTGGTATTTCACCGTTTTATTCAGACTAGAGTCAGCAAGTTGTGTAAGGGGAATGTATCAACCAGAGAACCAGCCCAACCAGAGGGACACCAGTGCACAGTGTCACCAACGAACCATTGATATGGATGCTAGAAAACATCTGTACTGTCAGCAGCAAGAGTAAATGTCTCTTGTCATAGTGAATCAGCAGTATGTAATGGTGCTGCACTGTAAATTGTCAGTGAGAAGTTGAGGCGTTTGCTACATACATTACTAGAATTCTCATTTGGGAAGAAGCAATAGTAAAGGAAGAGGAAGAATGAGTGGAATGCCTGTGGAAGGATTCAAAGACATCCTTTGTTTGGAGGAGAGAGGTAGAGAACTTACCTTGTGGTCTTGACCAAAGATATCATCAGATCTAGTACAGAAGTGATGGGTATAGAAAAATTCTAGCCCAGCTAAGTTTGCAAAAAGCAGTATTACATTTGGGAAACTAAATAAATGCAGGAGCTGGTACTGGAAAGAAGGACTTCAGATGTTTTAAGGAAAATTAAGTGGTTTGTAACTCTGTTTTGAAATAAGATGAATTAGTAACCTCTGGTATGGGTTTGACATATTACAACAGCTGTTTAGTTTGGCAATATAGAGTTCTTCATTGTGTGCTGCGTGGTGGAAGAGAAATTTTAAAAAAATATATACTGTTAGAAACATTTGAAAATACATGTTCTTTTCTGGGTGTATCTATAAAGCAAGTGTCATAAATATTAGATTAGGGCAAGGGTGGAGCTTTTTGGGGGGTGCTGTTGGTCTTTTCTGTTTGTGGCTTGTTTTTTTTTCCCCAAAGAATTTTATATTACCTATACATGCAGGTAGGCTTAACTCATGGTTACGTGGAGGATAAACAACTTTGGACTGCCCAAGTCACGTCTTTCCTGAATACTTTGTCACTACATTGCTGAAATCCCTTTTCCATTATATGTAATAAGCATCTTGGACATTCCTCTGCTCTGTTTTCTATGGAAAGGTTTTTACAAGTTTTGTAAAGATTAGTGGACTAAGTATGTTATTGCATCCTGATTTATATATGGTTTGTTTTATGTGTTTTTCTGATGTATTTAGTTTTCTGAGTTACTGTGGATAATCCGGAACAGGTTATGTTGTTAGCTTTGTGCCTGTAGAATTACAGGCTTGTAGCATTTTCTTTGCACAAGTTACCACCCACTCTGGAGAAGGAATGGCTTCTGCTTGCAAGAACTTGAAAGAAATGTGCCTGCAAGAATCTTTTTCAGGTACTAAACATCTACAAGTACTGTAGAGCTGTCATGGGAGCATCAGCTGTATTGATCTACTGATTGGTACTGCCTACGTTTAGTAATAGACAGTGTTTCTCATACATCTCATCTTGCCTTCAGGCACCAGCTGGGACCCGCACTATCCATCTGAAGCTGCAGGATGAGTTAGTTTTGGAGTTGGGGAACAAGATGGGGGAGTGGGAAAGAGCAGAGTTGCCTTATTTAAAATCTTATTTTCTTCTGTTCTAGTAGAAAATTTGAGAATGCCTTGCTTTCAAATGCCTGCCAATATTTAGACAGAATGCATAAGGACAGTACTTCATGATGAACCTTTTAAGAAGGTCACATTATGTTTTGAACAGTAAAATAAGTCAAGTGGGCACCTTAATGCAAGTCTGAAAAATTACCCCATTATATATGTATAAGGATTTGAAAAAAAATTCCTTTTAACCTAAACTATTGCAATTTGTGGACTCTAGTAGTAGGTACCAAAACAATGCTCAGAATGGTTCTCAACATTTCTGATGGCATAGTAAAGAACATGAGGTTTTGATTGCTTTGGGAGGTAACTTAGTCTTGTATTGGGACTGAACTTCAGGGGATTATTTGACAATTCCAGGAGGTGTCTGTTTCTTGAGATTCTCCTTGTCAAAAAGCACTCTCCAAACTAATTGCTTGTTTTCTTCCTTTTAACCAAAAAGGTGGACGTTTTTTCTGTTCCATCATTTTTCTTCAGTTTTGTTTCCTCATTTTCATTATCATAACTTTACATTTAATGCTAGTACATTTAGATTGTAGGAAAAGTGCCCTGTACATTTTCAGTACTGTGTTTGTGTGAGGGAGATTTTTATGGTAAGTCTTGGAGGTTCTGAGGGCTGCCTGTTTCATTGCTTTTGGTGATGCTATCAGGATATGAGTACATAAAGATCATTACAGAACAAATTACACACCTGTGATTTGTTTTTAGAGACCCTGAAATTCTTTTGCTGAGTGTCAGTTCACTTGGCAGTGAGTCTGGTAAGCGAGTGTTCCAGTGGCATTACCAACTCTCATGTCAGTCATATAACTACACAAGAGAAAGAAGATAAACCAGGAAGGCTATTTTGTTTTGCTGTGTGAGGAGATAAGTGTTTCCCTCTTTTGGCATTTGATTTGAGAGATTTAATTTATTCCATATGAAAATTAATCTCATTAATCTGACAGAATCCTCTCTGGCTTCTTTTTCTTCTCTTCATCTGGCGATACTGCTAACCTTTCCTTCTTCAGCTGCATGTTGGTGCTCCACTGACCGTATGTTACAGAATTGGTAGTAGGCCTCTCCCAATGTGAAGGCTCCTAAATAATTGAAATGCTGAGCTATAGGAAAAAAGCAACTAGGAATGCCCACTGAAGTCAACATCACTGTGTTTAGCACAGCTTGTAGAGTTTCCCTTTCTTGCATCTGTGATTTGAGTCTCATTTCTGGCCAGAGGAAGGTGCTTGGCATGTAATGCTTGGGATCAA